CCCCCCCCCCCCCCCCACGGGCCCTGCTCTGTGTGTGACGGGGTAGAGCCATACCCTCCCCATCGGCCCTGCCCTGAGTGTGACAGGGTGTAGCACCCCAACCCCCTGATGGGCCCTGCCGTGTGCGTGACCGGGGGCTGCACCTAGGGAGTGGGCCTGCCCTCTGCCATCCGGGAGCAGGCCTAAGCCAGCAGGGCGTTATCTCCCGAGGGGTCCCAGACTGCGAGAGGGCACAGGCTGGGCTGAGGGACCCTCCGTTCCCCCCGAGTGCACAAATTTTTGTGCACCGGGCCTCTAGTATATATATAAAAGGCTAATATGCAAAGTGTCCCCACAGTTCAACCAGGAGACTGTGAGTTCTATTGCTTGCTATGATGTGCGCTGACCACCAGGGGCAGCACAAAATGAAGGAAGGCCCTGGCCGGCAGCTGGAGAAGGGAGGAACCAGCCAGCAGCCAGAAGGCCCAATCAGCCCTGGTTGCCAGCCAAGTCTAGGGGCCCTACCCATGCACAAATTTCAGGTACTGGGCCTCTAGTAATAGCATAAAAAAGAAGAGCCCTAGCTGGTTTGGCTCAGTGAATAGAGTGTCGGCTTGTGAACTGAAGGGGCTTGGGTTTGATTCCAGTCAAGAGCACATGCCAGGGTTGCAGGCTCAGTCCCCAGTGGTGGGCATGCAGGAGGCTAAAAACATTTTTTTTAAAGTGCGCCTGGGGCCCTAGCCAGTTTGGCTCAGCAGATAGAGCATCAGCCTGCGGTCCAAAGGTGGGGTGCAGAAGGCAGCCTATCTATGATTCTCTCTCATCACTGATGCTTCTATCTCTCTCTCCCTCTCCCTTCCTCTTTTAATCAATAAAAAAATATATATTTTGAAAAAAAAAAGAATAAAAATAGGTACTGTGAAAATATTGATAATGACAACTACAGTGGAACCTCGATTCTTGAACTTAATCAGTTCTAGAAGGCTGTCTGAGATGCAATTTGTTCAAAAACTGAATCATTTTTTCCCATGAGAAATGTAAATTGAATTAATTTATTCCAGACCCCCAAATGATTCCACTTTAACTTTGCTATTATACACTACATGTCTAATGTACTGTTTAATTTATAAACAAACACTTTTCTTAAAGTTATCCTTTCAGCACTCCTTTCAGGGTGTTTTTCTGGAGGTCAGTATGCAGCATCTTCACTTTTTCACATATCACTGCTCTGAAATGCTGTCACCAGCTAACTGCTTTTTATTTATCCAAATCAACAACAGTTTCTCTACCTCTTCAATTGCCTGTGATCATTGTTTGTTTCACACCATTAGCAACATTAGCACTCTTGATGGTCTGTTTATGTTTTAAAATCGTGCTAATTGTCCATTCAGTCAGCAACAAAAAACACAAAAATATTCACAGCACAATTTCCTGAGATATTGGTGATAAACTGACTCATACTGGCCCATTCTCTCCTTTGTTTGAGGCCTGAGAGATGTTTTTTGTCACGCTGAAACACCATGAAAGGTTTGTCACATCCAAAATTAAAGTTTGTTCGTTCAACCAAGACATTTTTTCTGTGAACAACTTGGTCACAACTTGGCCAAGAACTGAACTATTTGAGATGGGAGACTTCCGAGACCTGAGGTTTGACTGTACTTGTACAAGTGTGGCTAAAACAGTTAACTTGTAACCATCAGACCTTTTTACAGTATAAACTCAGAAACAATGTCCAATGTTGCAAGAGCTACAGAGCTGGTCATCTGCAAAGTATGCCTGACATGTGGTCCCATCCCATTCCTAATGGTTCAGGTACACAGTACACTCACCTCCATAATCCCAGTATAATATGAAAATGGTGTTATCCTCAGGCCCTTTACCATAATATCTGATAAATGGTAAGGGTACAGCATGAGATGGTCTCGGCTGTACTTTAGTAGTTCCTCATAGTATCTGCGTTCATCTTTCTTGACATGTTTAACTGAGGAAAAGAAGGAAATTCTCCAGTTTTTTCACGTCTTATACTTACATACAATTACAAATGCAATGAGAAATACTTTACAACTCAATATTAATTAAAAAGAAAAGTATATAACTTGGAAGAAAATAAATAAAATAAACTAAGTTGGAACAAAGAAACATTATACCACAAGAAATATATAAGTACTATGTATAATATATGTTAGGTAAATGTATACTAGGACAGATAGAGACAGACAAGACAAATATCAAATCAAAAAGTAAAGAAAGTAAGCATGGAATGTCTCCCAAAAAAGGTATAAAACATAATCTATAATTCATTCAAACCCTTACTATGCCACTTTACAAGATAGCCAAACCGAATGATAGTTTTCTATAAAATGAAGTCTATTTTGAAAAATTATTTGTTGGTTTTTGTGATTTAAATGTAAAAAGACATCTGACTTTCATGAAATAAGTTTAAAAAGAAAATCTCTCTCTGAAATACTATATTTAAAATGAGAAGAGCACCTGGGAGGGAAGACTAGCAGGACAATAGATTAAACTAATCGAAGTAACCTGACAAATAAAAACATGAAACTAACTGTGTTTAAAAAGTACTCCAATTATTATAGAGTTTTCATTAAAGTTATAGTATTTGGAATGCTTATGGAGACAAAAACAAACTCAAAGTAAAAAATTATTAAGAACTAATATACTTCTTTTCTGGCATGTTTTCTTACCTAAAGTAAAAAGAGGGCATTTGAATCAAGACTAACATTCTATAGGTAAAACAAACGTATTAACAATACTCTAAAAAATAAATTTCATCAGATTTAGGAAGAAAAATCTACTTGCTAATGCAAATTGTTAGGTGGGATGGGTCAGCATAGTTTCTTAAAGTCTGCACATGGAATAATTTCAGTACTATAAAATATGTATTGAAAATATAGGATTTATGAAATGATAATTCAGCAACAGTCAATTCCATCTCAATGTAAAAATATCTCTACTTACCTAAGTTATTTCTGTATCGTAACTGATTGCGGATGCTGTACAAGACAACCTGCTTTTCATATTCCCTCTGTGAATTTCCAAGACTCTAAAAAAAAGTTCAAATAGATTTAAAATAGCTTCTAAACTATAGTACTTTTTCCCCATAAGATTTCAAAACAATGTCCCCTAACTTTATTCTGAAATCTAAACTTTCCAGAACAAAATAGAGAAGAATTTCCTAGATATTATATTACTGTACTAAATTTCTGCTATGCTTTTACAGCAAAATTTTAATGTGTTTATTTCCAGTCTGCTATTCTAAAAGGACTTACTGAAATTATCTGAAGTATTTAACATAAAATAAAGGAGCAATTTGAGAGCATAGTTTCACTTAACAAAGCACTAAGTTCTACTTACAAAGATTTCCTTTCCTGACTCTCCCAATTTAGCACTGTTGGGTAAATGGATGGATGGTTTCTTGCACCTACATTTATTTAAATTTAAGAATGGCCACTGACAACAGATTCTGGTCTGATAGTTATTTTTAGCTGAGGAATATGATTATTAAGATTTCTGGAGAATGTACTTTCAAATATACCTTTAAATTTAAGATTACTTCTTTAAAACATCACCTTCTTATGGTCTCATTAGAAAACATTTAGAAACTTTTAGAATCCCAATATACTATTGGAATTATCAAAAAACTCTTTCCAGCTGTGCACATAATGTTTTTAGCTCAAAGTTGGGTTCTCATGAAAGCAAAGAATACGTTTGCCTGATTATAATCAAATTATATTCAATGTGTAACCATAAACTTAATATGTGACTGCTATCCCTCTTCTAATTACTAGGTATAATCCTTCCGATGTGCTATAAAGTAAAATTGGACATCTTAGGAAACTAGCAACAGAAAGATCAGAGGGTTGAGTGATTACACTTCCTACTCACAGGTTTTTAAAAGCCCAGGTAAATGTCCATAAACATACTTTCACTTAAGGCAATCTTCATAAAACAGATGAAACTCACATCTACATAAACTGGCAAATAATTGGAACTCATTAGAGGATAGTATCTCAAGGAAAAAAAAGGTGATGTGAGAAAACTAAAAATCTTTCTTCCTGCAACTAGATTATTTATCACAGCTTAAACCACAACTCACACTACCATCGGAATGTATGTGCTGATAATGTAACTCCAGAAGAAAAAGTGTAACTCAAGCCACTCATACAAAATATAAGGGTCCATTATTTATAAGCTAATTAGAAAGTGCAGTATCTATTAAACATCTAAGTCTCTGCACTAGGCTTTAATGACTGGTCCTGATCAATTCACTGGTGTGCACACACATACCCGAGAACTACATTAACAGTTGATTTACTCTTCACTACCCACTACATAAAATATGACTGCTTTGTTCACAAAGATTCTTTAGCTTGTCTCCCACTCCTACCCCAAATTTCCCATCATTCACATTTTAGAACACTGTTGCCACTGCAGGAGGCAACTAAAGAAAGCTCATTTTACTCTCAGACAGCGCTGACCCTGCAGAAGTACTGACCAGGTCTAACAAATGGAGTTGGGCTGCATATAGAAGGACCTCTAACAGATGAAGGGGCAACAGAGGCACTGGCCGTAAAAAACCACCATCAGATGTTCCTATAAACCCCAACCTCAATGTGCAACTCAAAAAAAAAATACATATTTTTTTAATTGACCCTTTTGGGATTATACAGAACCTCCTCATAAGATTTAAAATAAAATAACTATGAATTGTTCTGAACAATGAATACAAGATACTCATAAACTACTTATAAAATCCTGAAATAATGGCCCTTTCCACAACTTTTTATGTTTTTTTAAGTCTAGTATGACCCATAACCCATAAAAATATTTCATCTCATCCATATAAAAGCAAGTTTTAAAACAATAGTTTGAAATAAAAAAATTTTAACAATCTGAATCCTTTCCCCCAGCTTTCAGAACCGGAAAATGAGTCATTTCCCAATTAAACTTATCAGAAGTTGCTGGAAACTTTATCAAAGTACTTAGTATCTCTCTAATGCCAAATCCAAATCCTTTCCACAAGGAAGATCCTCTACTTGTAAATTGCCTGAGCTTTAACTTAGCTCCTGGGGCAAGATCTCAGGCTGATGCCATCATTCATTCACTCCAAAAAATTATACTAAAATCTATGTGATAGGTGCTCAAAATACCAAAGCAAAACAAGTACTGTAACAAGAAAATACACTGTAGCGGGCTAAGTGCCATCGGAGTGTAGAAATACAAGGCCGAGGTGCATTATCTGAGGGTCAACTGACCCAGATTGAAGAGGTCAGCGACCCCTTCCTGGAGGAGTTAGTATCTGAGATTCACGAAGAAGCCACACGTACGCCACACGTACATCTACACTACAGGAGACGGGTGGTGAGCGAACTGGGGTGGTGTTTAGAAAGCTCACCCCAGTGTAGTGTGAAGAATGGATGGGAGGGTCCCATTCTCAGGGCAAGATACAGAGATAAGAGAGCAGATGAGCCACCCTGGTGGAGCCTAGCCCAGCAACAGTGGAAAGACCACGGCGTGCCCTGTGCAGAGGGGCTTTGCAATTCCGTCTACCAGTGCAAACTTATCCTAAGCTAAACAGCTATTCTTTTACGTGCTCTTACCCCAACAAATTGCTTTAAATTTAATATCACATTTGTACCTAATTTTAACAGTGTTCTGAAATTACTTTTAATAGTCATGCCTAAGGTTTAGAAATGTTTTTACTAATTAAGGCCAGTTCCTCATGCTGGACACAATCTTCCATTATGCTACATTTATGTTTGTGAAAGGAAGAGTAGAGGGGGAAAAGGAAACAACGGAAAGGATTGTTGGTTCTTCGGATCGATCCTCTACAGATATGCCACAGAACCCTAGAGACCAAGCGTGTCCACCAGAGCCTTCATTCACACTCAGCGAGAGGGACTTACTCCCTCGGATGCAGACCTCTCTTTCCAGGTCCAGCTAAGCACTCCACGGGCAGCCACGGACAACCAAGCATTCCGAGTTCCTTCAATTTATCCTTCCACTTCCCTGCTTTCTTGAAATCCCGGAGTGAAAGTATGTTCTCCCACGTGATGCATCGCCAGACCTTAAATTATTCATTTCCTAGAACTAAGTCTCCAAGCCGGGAGAACAATAACCTTGACACCATCACCACCACGCTCCCCAATTTTCCAAGGCGACTGCCCAGCACCGAGGGGAGCAGAACTCCACTCCCCACCCAGCGGAAGGTCAACCTCTGACCAGAGAAACAGTGGCTCGTCTGCAGCTCCTACCACACGACCTTCATACGGTGTTCCACCACCTGCCATGTTCTATGCTTATTCATCTGCGATCTTTTTTTACTAAAATGTCAGCTCCATGAAGGCAGGGTCTGTCTGGAACAAGGCATAGCACGCAGTAGGTGTTCAATAAATGCATGAAACGACGGAGTAAAAATCAACCTCAAGCATTTGAGACTTGACTCTCAAAACCTCTCTTGCTGAAACGTCTTATAAACCCATCTTGTCATGCGGATAAAGTTAAAAAAAAAAAAAAGGACAAAGTCCCTTCAAAACCCGGCTCTGCTTTTCCAGCCTCACCTGCTCCCAAGCCCAGGCGCACAGACAACCCCCGCTCCAAGCAGGTCCCTGGACCTGCGTCTCCAGACACGCTTTCGCGCGCCCGAGCCTTTGGACAGGACTTGCCCTCTGCCTGGAAACCTTCATTCCCGCTTTCACTCGCCCTCTAGGGCCCAGTTTGAATGCCCCCCGGGGTACAGCCTCGCGACACTCCCTGGGCAACAGCTCCCTCCCTCCTCTGAGAAGGTGTGTATATGACAACACGGGTGGGTCAGAGCTGCTGTCACCTGCAACGCTCTCGTTGGTTTCCCGCCCCGGCCCCGCGCCCTTAAGTTCTGGGGTCAGCTTCCCATCTGTTCCGCGGGCGCCTCGCCCACTGCCCGGGGCAGTGGAGGCTCCAAGCAAAAGCGCCGGGTGAGCCCAAAGCGCAGTCCCAGCCCACAGCTT